CACACACACACACACACAATCTGGTACAGCTATCTTTATGGGGACCTGGCATTGACTTCCATTATTTTCTACAGCCTAACCCTGACCACCAACCCTAAGACTAACCTAAACTTAATTCACACCTTGGTCCTAAACCCAACCCCCAACCCACCAATGGAATTTCCCCTCATGGCGACTAGATTCAGGTCTCCATGAGTACCAGTCAGGTCCCAATAAGTAACATTAGGTCCCCACAAGTAGGTGTGTATGCCAAAAAACTGCCCCACAATGTAGGGAATACCAGACCCCACACACACGTTTGTTTTCTACCTCTGTGTGGGAACTTTGCATTGACTTCCGTTCATTGCATCACGGTGGATCAGTGGTTAGCACCGACCCCCCACAGCAAGAAAGTCCTGGGTTTGATCCCCGGTTCAGACCTGGGGTCTTYCTGTGTGGAGTTTGCATGTTCTCCTCGTGCTTGTGTGGGTTTTCTTCAGGTACTCTGGTTTCCCCCACCCCTAAAAACATGTACAATAGGTGCCTTCAGGCCCAGGCCTCCCTTGAAAAAGAGATCTGAGATCTCAACGGGACTTGCCTGGTTAAATAATGGTGAATTTTCTCAATTCACACCTAACCCCCTACCAAAATCAGTATCAGTACCCGTGGGGACCAGACTTTGGTCCCCACAAGGAGAACTGGGTCTCCCCTGCAGACTTTAGGTCCTCAGTTCAGTATTTAAAGGTGCCTGTCTGATGGTTCTAATAGTTCTGATAGTTCTTTAGTTCTGTTGGTTCTGCTGGTTCTGAATGTTTCTCAGGTAAACTCTATAAAATGAATGAATTCAGTCACACCTGACATCTTCAGCAGCTTCAGCAGGAACCTTCTGAAAAAAGGGGCTTCCTGAAGACTCTCTGCTGTTTTCCAGAACAACCCCCCAGGTATCCTGGCCCTGCTGGACGAGGAGTGCTGGTTCCCCAAAGCCACGGATCAGTCCTTCGTGGACAAACTGCTCAACACCCACACAGGTCACGTCAAGTTCTCCAAACCCAAACAGCATAAAGAGAAGCTGATGTTCACCGTGCTGCACTACGCCGGCAAGGTGAGGAACCCAACACAGCCACAGGCCACAGAACAGCTGAGACCTTCARAAGGTCCAGAGAACCGCTGATCCAGAACCTTCAAATGATCTTTAAAGAACAATCTAAAGAGAAACCTGAAGTCTCAGATGAAGTCTGTAAGAGAACCTCACAGAACCTTTGTGTTGGGTTCCAGGTGGATTATAACGCAGCCAACTGGCTGACAAAGAACATGGACCCTCTGAACGACAACGTCACGGCTCTGCTCAACAACTCCTCCAGCAGCTTCATCCAGGACCTGTGGAAGGATGGTCAGTCCCCTGAGAGACACGTCCAGACAGGTGTAGACCAACCCTCTGTAACACGCTGGTCCATGTCTCCCTGCAGTGGACAGGGTGGTGGGTCTGGACACCATCACCAAGATGTCTGAGAGTTCTGCTCCCAGCTCCACCAAATCCAAGAAGGGCATGTTCCGTACGGTGGGTCAGCTGTACAAAGAGTCTCTGAGCAAACTGATGACCACGCTGCACAACACCCAGCCCAACTTCGTCCGCTGCATCATCCCCAACCACGAGAAACGGGTGAGTGCTGCTGTTACCTGTCTGTCTGCACCTGGGTCACATCCAGGTCACATCCAGGTCACACCTGGGTCACATCCAGGTCACACCTGGGTCACATCCAGGTCACACCTGGGTCACATCCAGGTCACACCTTGGTTACATTCAGGTCACATCCAGGTCACACCTGGGTCACATCCAGGTCACACCTGGGTTACATCCAGGTCACATCCAGGTCACACCTGGGTCACATCCAGGTCACACCTGGGTCACATCCAGGTCACACCTGGGTCACATCCAGGTCACATCCAGGTCACACCTGGGTCACATCCAGGTCACACCTGGGTCACATCCAGCTCACATCCAGGTCACATCCAGGTCACACCTGGGTCACATCCAGGTCACATCCGGGTCACATCCAGGTCACATCCGGGTCACATCCAGGTCACACCTGGGTCACATCCAGGTCACATCCGGGTCACATCCAGGTCACATCCGGGTCACATCCAGGTCACACCTGGGTCACATCCAGGTCACATCCAGGTCACACCTGGGTCACATCCAGGTCACACCTGGGTCACATCCAGCTCACATCCAGGTCACACGTGGGTCACATTCAGGTCACATCCAGGTCACACCTGGGTCACATTCAGGTCACATCCAGGTCACATACAGGTCACACCTGGGTCACATTCAGGTCACATCCAGGTCACACCTGGGTCACATCCAGGTCACACCTGGGTCACATCCAGGTCACATCCAGGTCACATCCAGGTCACATCCAGGTCACATCCAGGTCACATCCAGGTCACATCCAGGTCACATC